TCACCACTATTGTTGGCCCAAGCTGTACAAATGGACGAGCACCTATGTGCGCACGTGTCAGATGTGTCAACGGGTGAAACCCTCTCCAAATGCGGCTGTGCCGCTGGCCAGCTTACCGGTACCCACTAGGTGGTAGTCCATGAGTTTGGACTTTGTGTTTGGCCTGCCGAAAGATTCGACAGGCAACACGGGTGTCGTGGTATTCGCCGACCGATTGAGCAAGATGGCTCATTTGGCGGCGGTGCCAGACACCATCGACAAAGTCGGTACAGCAACGCTGTTTGTAGACCAAGTTTCTCGACAACATGGACTCCCAGAGTCGATTGTCTCTGAGAGACCCCCGTTTCACAGGAAACTTTTTGCCAACCATCTTCAATGTGCTTGGCACCAAGTTGTTGAACAAAGTCCATTGATTCCTTTTTGCCCTGTCGGGCTGCAAGGAAACGCGTTCGCACGCGATATGCCTGGTTAGGCGGCGAGAACACTAACAAAAGCTGCGGATTCAGCTATATCCAAGAGGGACACGCCGCATCAAGCCAAGTGCCGCACGTCAGTGCCCATTCTCGTGCTCGGCAACCGATCTTGGAGATAGCTTGTGCCACGCGCTGTTGCTCGTTCAGAAGCATTGCGGACGTTGGAACCATCTCGGCTTCGCTCACCAGAAGCTGGAGATTCTCTACATCCTTGCACTTGAAGGTCTTAACCGCTACCATGAGCGTTCCTAAACGGGAGGAGTCATGGTGGTGTCTTGGACACAATCGGCGCCGACATATTTTGCAGTAGGTGCTCTAGCACAGCATTTTCATAGCTCGAAAATGCCTCTAGGCGCGCGTTGATCGCATCTGGTACTTGTGAGGCGAGGTTTTGCACGCCCTCAGGGCCAAGCAGAGTCATCAGCTTTTCAAGCCCGTCCAGCATGCCCTTGGGCAAATAGAAGAACTGCTCCATTCTCACAGAGAATCAGTCTAACGACTCAGGTGTAAATTGACCATTTAGGCTAGCAAGTGCAGCGGTACTGCCGTAGCTCGCTTCTTCGCTGAGCGGAAGCTAAGCAAAGTGGTCAAACTTAATGCGTGAATCTGGTTGTTCGGTATATTATTAGGACTCTTGCGCGAAGCGACTGCTCTCATGGATTTTGTCGAGTTAAATAGTGCAAACGCGACACGTCTGGCATTGCCTTCTTTTTAAAATGTTTTGACACAACCTTGTGTCCCATTGTATCCGTTACGGAGGGCTGCGGCCCAGATAGAAAAATGTTACTAATACAATCTAACTTGCTTGTATCAGCTCATCTTCAATTCCGGGCGAAAAAAATAAAGTATCATGTGCCAAGTGCGCGACGCTTATGTCTTAGAGCCAATACATGCAAGGAATCATCATGAAAACGCTAAAGGTAGACGAAAACAAATAGGCCCGCTCGTGAAAGCGTGTAAAAAGCTCTGCCGGGTCAGCTCCAAACTCATAACTACAGCCTGATAAAATTTGGAGCTACTTCATTAAATGTTGTTGTAACTTTTAAGCTTGTAGACAATAAAGCTCGCCTTTTTGAACCGCGTTTAACGTATTGGAAACGTGGTAAACGTGATCGTAAATTTTATTTGGAATAGTGAAGCGCAAAGACAGTGTGATTGCCACATCACCGATAAAACGGGCACTGAGTGCGCTGCTCGTGCAGAGATGAGAACGGGATAAAAGTATGGATAGTTTTTGAAGCGTTCTTGCTGACGAAAAACAGCTTGTCTGTACGACTTTTGATGAGAAAAATGATGCTAGTTCAGGATCTGGAGAGTTATTGTAACCACTCCCATCTGAGAATACCTTAGCTGCTATACTAAGTACAGCTCGCAGATTGCAGCGGGGCTGCCGTAGCTGAGCGCTAGAAGAAGCGTACTTTAGGTCACCGACCATTCGTCTTTACAAGAACCAAGTATGAGTTAGCGGATCGCAATCCGCTTCCTCCAGAAGTAATTATTGCCTGCTAATTGGCTCTTCGGATTAAATTCAAAACTAATTTTTATTTATTTATTATCCCAAATTTAAATGTATAGATTTTCTTAAATATACTGAATATATAGTAAAATCCAAATTCATGCATAACTATTGGCTACCTAGCCCCGTACTGTATTCTTGTTTGGGTGTGGTCAAACCAAAAACATCTCTTGTGACACCCCCCGTGATATCAGGGTTCGTGTAACCCCGTTACACCCTCCCCAATAAGATTGAGAAATTTCACATATCCAATCGATTATTGCCTCAACGAGGCTCGCGTGTCCGTTAGACACTGAAACTCAATTTGTTGGAAATTAACAATTTCCTTGCTTAATGAGTCCTGTGTCTACGACACGAAAAACCATCGAGTCTCGCTGGTTCTGACAGCGAGCACGGGCAGAGCCCAGCTTCGTTCCCCGCACGCAGTGCGATGTCAGACGATGCGTCCGCGGGTCCGGGGGCTGTATATCCTAGGCTCAATGAGCACAAGCGTCGCGCTCCGCGCACGGTATCAGTGACGAATGACCTCGTTGAGGACGTGGGGTTGGTTGACTACGAGTCTGGCACCTCTTTTCCCGCATGGGATGAAGAGGAAGGCGGGCTGCACCAGCAGCATGATACAAGCCTGCTCACGCCTTGCGAACCCCATGTCCGTTCCCTGATTTCTCGTCGACTGAGGGATGTGGTGTAATCACCATGACCTCGACGGGGAACAAAGGTGGCAGCTGCAAGCTATCTCATAAGGAGACTTCAAAGCGCGCCCATTCACTGTCGGTCATTGACCCTCGTGTGAAATATGGCTTTCGCCCAGCATATTCCGCTGTGAAAACGAAGGATGCGATAACTCGATTGTTACGCGTCAACATCATCGGGCCCCCGGCCAGAACGAATGATGAACAGGCCACACGGAAAGCTCTTCGAGCTCGTTTCTTGGTCCCACAAGTAAATCTATTAGACGTTTATCGCACTCGACTAAGTGCTCAACGAGGTGGCTCTCGTGTACTCGCAATGCGGACAATACCTGTAGTGCTCGCTCCTGGTGAAAGCACTACATCTGACGAAGCGCTTTGATGGATGGATGCAACGGAACCGAAAAATATTTTCACTGCATAACCTGCAGTTGAGCCACAAGGATGTGAACGTGCGTGTGGAGCGACACCACCGCTTTGAGTTCGCCAAACCCAAGGCTCGCTGTCGACTTCCATTGGACTGTCGCCCTACGACGTATGGATTGACCCCTAATGCGCCCGCGATGTCTGTGTCAGCGACCGCAAGAGCTCAGGGCCACTGCTTGAGCTCAGCGCATGACCCGACTACTTCCCAGGCTATTACCGGGAAGCA